CCCTCACCCCCACCCCCTAGACTGCCCACATTCCCCCTGGCTCGCAGTTGCCGTAGCTTTCTGGAATAACTTCATCACGATGCCCCCCCCCCTAACTGAAATAGACCCTGTAAACCTTCACCATTGTGGCACTACCGCTAAAGACAAATGGTGAAGGACTGTAAACGGTGAAAATAGGAATTTTTGATCAACATAAAATCTAAAGAGTGTTCCGATTCGTAATAGCGTCTTTCTGACATACTGAGCAATTCACCGTTCTTGTTTACATCGATGGAGGGGCATGACTTGCGAGTGGGCGAGCGAGTCAATGAGTTATCCCTCAGAGGTTTCTAGACACTTTCAGCCCTCACGAATTTGGAAATTTTCTATGAACGACAAATGTGACAAATCGTTCTTGGAACCAAGAATGTCCTTTCTTTTACGATGCATAACCACTAATTACGATGGTAATTGTGTGGTTGGAGTGATACTAATAAGCAAGTGTCGTATGTGAGTAGTATGGCAGGGGAAGGAGCAAGTGGTGGGTGCAGGGTGAAAATCGACAGAAGAAATGGCAACGGCGCGTCGAGGATCCCCGCTATCTCGCACTCGCGAGCCGTCTGCGCTCTCCGCGCTTACGTTCACCCTCGACACTACTCTTGCACAATAGAGAGCCATGGCCGAGGAATTCCTCGACCGCTATTCACCCTGGGTAGGTGTGTCATATCGGCGTCAATCAAAGGGTGAGATTGTGGTATTGTGTAGTATAAGCGCTAATCAGGCAGGTGTCAGGCTTTGCGGATCGAGCGATTCACTAGTAGCGATTCGCAAAGTCTGACACCGGCCATGTAGCCCTTTCGAAGGAAATAAAAAAAGCAGAGATGCTGTAATAGTGGGCATTTGTGAGAGCTTTCAGAGGGCACTACAAAACGGTGAATCCCGTAGCCTCACGTTGGGTGTGGTTTGCTACGACAGAAAGCGAAGAAACCTTTTCGGTGCGGGAACCCTGGGTCCACTATTGAGCAGTGGTGGACCTGGGGCCAGGTGCAGCAAGCCCCAACTAGGGGATGGGTCCCCAAAACTCTGCATCTCTGGACTCTTCCCTTATTCTTGACCACGCGTGTTGCTCATCGACAGAGTAGAGACGGAGAGTTTAGGGGGCCCATCCCCTAGTTGGGGCTTGCTGCACCCGGCCCCTTGGGTTGCCGCAGCGAAAAAATTCTGCGCGGAAAAGTGGGAAGACCGTTTTCTGTCGTAGCGAACCACACCCCTCACGGTTGACAGATGTCCTGTTCCGTGCAAGTGGATTACGGTACTCCCAAATTTGCACAAGGAACTCTTGAAGTTTCACCAAACGAAAATTCTCGTTTGAACACACAACTTCAAATTTTTTACACATACGTTATTCTTCTTGTTGTTTGTATTGTACAAAAAACATTTGTGAGCCAGGGAAGGAGGATTTTAGCTCGAGCTCATTGGAGGAACCTTGTGGTGGTCCACTGTGCAAAAAGAAGGGATTTTTCATTGTTTGAGAAGTGATTCGCCTACTTCATTGCTGTTTCCCATTCCTATGCTTAAGTGGAGAGCCTAATTACTTTCTTGCATTAAGTTTTCTGCACTGAATTCCTTTTTTTTTTGTTTGCAGCGCCAGCGTAATTTTCTATGTTGTAGCAAAATGACAAGCATTTCATGAACTCATTTGGTTGAAATACTGAAATTCATATTCGACTCATTTTGCACTACGAAAAAAAAACGCCTTCATCTCTGATGTGTACTGGCTTTCTTTTAACTAGAATTTTGAATTTTTTTCTCTAACCATCTGGAAAGTGTTGTGGCTGTTTTCATAGAATCGCAGATGTTTGTCACCGTAAACGTCGTCAACAGTATTGATTCTTTCTGTGTTCAGTTTTCGTTTTCCATGTGACCCTTATGTGAGGTGGGCATTGATAGTTTCTTTGAAAGTTGTTTGTCGTGTTTCTCCTTAACTGTACCGGTTCCTTCCCCTCGCCTATGTACGAATACCCTGGAACAGCTTGATGTGCATCATCGATTTCGAACTGTTTTCATACTTTTTCTCTTTTTCTGATCCTCTTTTCTATTTCGTTTTCGATGGTGGTGCGAACTCGCCCGGGGCCATCCTACCCTTCCTCCAGGGTAGGGGTAGAAAAAATCCCTTCAGGTTTTTGGTTTTCATTCAAAATAGCAGTTTCCTTACTTCCAGTACATGGTTGTTTCCACACACATACAAACATTACAAAAGGCCAATTCCTATGGCAATTTTGGTTGGGAAAACAAAGAAAAGGGACTCTTTCAACCCCTAGCCTGGGGCAAGAATAGGATACGGCCTTCGGTCTTCAGTACCCTTGTCGTTGTGTTCCTATTTCAGCTTTTTCGTATATAAATCGAATGAACAAACGATAATAACAGCTTGAATATTATAAAACGCACTGTAACTCCAAAATTCATATCAATCAGTTTAGCCAGTTTGATGAATTTTGAATTCTCACAGTGTCGTAATAATCGGATATTTTGGGGAACTAAGACTGACATTCTCGAACGTGATCATTTCAATTCGTTCAGGATATGCTATGCATGTGCTTTCCATGACGGAACGTATCCGAGCGCACCTACCTAGCTGTACTGAACGACACAGACGATTCCCGAAATGAAGCGTTCTAATCCAGCATCGATTGGTTTGAAAGGAGACCAGTAATATCGCTTTGTGAGTTTCTCCTGGAAATTTTGACAATAAGTCTTATTTTGGC